TTCTATACTTCTTTTTTTATTCGTTTACTTTGTTTTTATTTGAACTATTAGCTTAAAAGTTTATTATTTTAGCCATGTTTGAAATATAATGTTGTGAGATATAAAATTCTCTGATTGAATCAACAGGAGACACGCTGAACAAAATAAGGAATAATTTATTATTATTCCTTTGCAGGAATAATTCTTATTTCTCTCACGTGTCATACTAGTTCAGGGGTGTCAAAGTGGCAGCCCACAGGCCAGATGCAACATGTGCAGGCCACATTCACCCCAGCTCTGTGAATGGGAAAAACATTGCAAAACGTCATGTGATGGCAATGTGACATAGCAAGTTTGACACCCATGTACTAGTTGTTCCTTCCTCCCTCCCATAATTGGTTTTATTGAGTTTTTATTAACTTGGGATTATATGCTTTGTCTTGGAGATTTTCTACATTTCATTTATTAAGATGCCCACCCAAATTGAATTGTGCAAATGGCACTTCATCATTACAGCTTGTTCTGACGGTTCTTCAAATAGAGAATTAGCCTCTGGTTACATTACTACAATCACTTATCTAAGCTGCTTAAATCTCTTGCCACAAAACCATTTTAAAGTTTTTTTGCCTATATATTCAAGCAGATCATTTACAAGTGTCATTCCCACAGAAAAGCAAAGTAAAAAGTGAAATGTTTCTTTTTAAATTCTTGTTTTGATCTTATAGTTTGAGATTTTATTACTATTGTGAACCACCCAGAGTTATGTTTTAAGATGGGCGGCCAGACAGATCTTTGAAATAAACAAATACACAGAGAATTAAACCAGACAGTGTTGCACTTGTTGCCATAATGCATATGTTTGTGCGTGAGGAGATGTTAATCAATTACATTATCTGCTTTCTTTTAATTGAGGTTAGAATGTTATGTTGCTAGCAGTGGGTCCTCGTGGTTAATATTTCATTCATCTGATGGCTTAGACAGACCTGCTTGGCAGGTAAGCAAATGGGAAACTTAAATCTTTTCAGCCGTTTCCTGCTGCAGTAAAAGTGTTTATTCCATTGGCAAGCAATCAAGTACATGTCTCCATGGCCTTTTTGTAATTGTGGCATTAACAGAGGATCAAGTAGCACATAATGGAGGCATAAAACATGCTTGAAAATGAGGAGGCCCTCGTGGTGAGGGAATATTTATGGTAGTCTGACCTAAGACTTGGCTGGTCCTTCATAACAGGTGGATGATTTTAGTCCCATTTTGGACAAGTAGCGTTTTTAGCCTTCATTGACTCTCCTTACTGCATTCTTTTTCAAATATTAGAAGACAGGGTCAGTTAGTAGTGGGTAGAGACCCAAAATAGCTAGAATGGTGACTCTGTTCAGCATGGACCACCTATTTCTACTTTGCATTGCTGATTACATTAAATCTGGTCTCTGTGAACCAGATACAATTGAATAGAACATGGGTGTCAAACTTGTGTGTCACGTTGCTGTCACATGACATTTCACAACGTTTTCCCCATTTGTGAAACTGGGGTGTGTGTGTTCTGTGTGTGATACACTCGGCTTGCGGGCCACCAGTTTGACACCCCTGGAATAGTAAACTAAGAAAAAAGCCTACATCAAAACAAGACACCCCAAACTTGGCAACTTTAAGACTTATGGACTTCAATTCCCAGAATTCTCCAGCCAACATAGCTGGCTAAGAATTCTGGAAGTTGAAGTCCCCAAATCTAAACGTTGCCAAGTTTGAAGACCTCTGGCCTACATCATTAGGTGAAAAATCACCATTTCCATTTGGGCAACTCAACTGTCTTTTCTGTCCCTTTCAAACTGCTTTGGTGGGTTCTCCCAACTCTCCAGAGGACAGTTGGGGCAATAGACTCCAATTCTTAAGAGCTGTCATTTCAATAACAACATACCACACACATTTCTTTGTTATTGAATTAAGCATATTTATGTTGTGACTTTCTTCTTCATAGTGGGAAGCGGCTCCCCCACCTCCAATTAAAGTTGATATATGGATTGCCAGAATTTGTTCCATTCCTGAACCTAAAACATGGTGATTTTTACTCCATGCAGAAAATTATTCCTTAAATAAATTCAGAATGTTTCTTTTCTAAAGATTTTGTTAGCAATCATTTCTGGTGTGATGTGACACACACATACATTAATCATGAGTAATAACATAACCATATGTCTTATTTGTTAGGACAGTCCTTTCTTTCTTTCAAAAACCATAGTGCAATTTAAAGTTCCCAGTCCGGTAAAAACAATCATAAAAAAATAAAATAAAGATTTCAGAATCCCCCATCTATAATTGAATGGATAGCAGGTTGAGAAGACATACATCACCTCAGGGGTGGGCTTCAAAAATTGTAGCAACGGGTTCACTGCCCCGTTGCTAGGTGGGTGTGGCCATGGTGGGTGTGGCCTAGTCGGCCTCCTACACCACATGGGGGGGATGTTTTTCATCCTCCCCAGCTCCAGAGGCTTTCCTCGAGCCTCCGGGAAGATGAAAACTGCTTCCCCTGGGCTTCAAAAGCTTTCTAGAGGCTGGAAACAAGCCTGTTTCTGGAATCTCCGGTAGGTCCCCTTTTTACTCTCCCTGGCTTGAGCTTCCGGGAGAGCGAAAACTGCTTCACCCAGGCTCTGGAGGCCGAAAACAAGCTTGTTTCTGGATTTCTGGAACCTCTGGTAGGCCTGTTTCCCCCCCCTCCCTGAACTTCCGTGCAGCCCCTGCATTTACCTGACATGATAAATGGGCCACGTAGAGATTCCTGGGAGGGGCAGAAGGGGCCAACCTGCGGTGGCATTTGAGGGTTCACTGAAATGGGCAGAATCCTAGCTAGAGGATCATCCGAACCCATGCGAACCCTCAGCAGCCCATCCCTGCATCACCTATTCACAGCCGCAAGAGACATAACGACAAGATAAAATGACTTGAGAATATACAGTTCGTCCACTTAAGATATAGTCATTTTACATTTGTAAAAGTTACGTTCCTTTGTTGTAATTACAGTTTGTAAATTCCATGGTGATAAATAATAGAAGCTGTATCTGATATACTCCCATTTCTCATTTTTAAAATTATTTCTTGAGCTTGTCTGAAAGTGAAGCAAAACTAGATTTTTACATGGATTTAGTTTACAGGCTTCTTTTAGCAGCTTTGACTACTGTCATATTTCTGCAATAAGCTGTTTTGGAATTTACATCAGTTTCATTTAGCTGCACACAGAAGTCATGCAGTGGTACGAATGCTTGACTGTTCTGTAAATTTCTAATAATCCTGATTTTGGTTTGAATGATTGTGTTTCAAAAATCCCCTCCCCCACCTCAAGGCTGTCACAAAAGCAGCACCCATCATTTGTCAGCCTGATTTAATCCGGTATTAATTACTCAGAGGGATGCCAGATTTTCCGACATCTCAAGCAGTATTTTTTAATATATCTTGTTAGAGAAGTGAGTTTATTTCAAAGTAAGCATGCATTGACATCAGCATGATTGACATACTGGGCATGTATTGCTACTAGCAGTTTTTTGATCAAGGAAAATGGATGAAGAAAAGATGCACGGAAAGTCATTTTAAAGTTCAAAGGAGACATAGAAATGAGAGGAAAACAATACTGATTTAACTCTATTTCCCTGGACAAGGCAAACAAAAGAGAAGGAGGCAGAGAAACCTTCAGAAGTGAATGTTGAAACAAACTGGTTATTATACCCCAACTATGAAATAATAGGTATATGCTTTCTCTGCTCACAACTGCTGCTGCTTTTTTGTGTATGTAGTAGCTGAATACCCATGCTCCGCTATGAAACTATGTGATCAGGCTTGATAAATCAACACTTACAACTTGAAAATTAATGAGTAGTTACAATCGGCCTCTCCTCTCCCCTTCTCTCCCACAGGTTTGCCCCACAGAAGCCTCTTCTATCCCCTTCTCTCCCTCAGGCTGGCCCATTGATTCTCTCCTATCCCCTTCTCTCCCTCAAGCTTGCCCCATAGAAACCTCTCCTACTTTATCCCCTTCTCTCCTTCAGGCTGGCCCCATTGATCCTCTCCTATCCCTTTCTCTCCCTCAGGGCTGCCCATCTCACATGAAAGTGAGTCTGGGCAGCATAGAACACTTAATTAAAAACAATAAATACATAAAAACAATCACACTTTAAAATAACTACTGAAAGAGTTCTGACCAGGTGAGTTCTGAAAGTTTAGCAGAGCAGACAAACTCCTCAGTGAAAAAGGCAAAGAGAGATTGCTGGTCCCAGGGCTTTGCTTGGTGGATCTGTTTGTTCTGGTTATAATCCCTCTTCTCCCATTTTGGAAATTCTTGGCTTTCATTGTAAAAAAACAAATTAACCTCATGCTGTGCATCATATTGTGATGTACTTTATAACTTAAGCAGTTAAGTATTCATTCATTCTTGGGGCTAAAATAGATGTGACATACCAGGCACAAAATATGCTTTCCTGACGTTTGTTTGTTGTAGCTGTTGTAACAGGATGGACATCAGATGTAGTTGGAAAACAGCTGTCTCATCTCAAAGTCATCTTCCACAAAACTTCCCCTTTCCTCCTTTCAGTGGAAAAAGATAGCTTTCTTTGAGGAGGAAAATATTAGTGAGGAGTTGAATATTTTGAATAAAGGGTTTGTCTGATATGCTCAGAACAGTATTTTCACTGACAGTAGATTTGTAACAGATAAAATAACAGATAAGTGATAGTTTAAGAGCTTTCCATTTATGCTCTTTTGAAAAATAGTAACTTAAAATAGAGGAATGTAGTCTTTTTTTCTTTTACAGCATGATAACAGCCAAATTCTACAAGTAGCCGATCATGTGAATTGAGGCACCACTTATTAATACTTTGCAATTATAGCAAAGCAATTAAAAGAAATCATAAGCAACTAGTGAAAACCTGTATTTTATAGCCTTTGTCTTTGGATGTGAAGATCAGTGGGCGAATACTGCTTTTTTAAACTGCTTGCTGAGAACCAAACATATAAATCACTCCCTTTTGCCATTCCAGGTCTTTTGGGCATTTCCAGGCAAGAGAATATGGTATTGCCTTGGGGACATCAGGAAAATCAGCTGCAAGTGATAATTTGAGACAAGGGCTGTGTTTGACCAGGCTTTCGGTCACCAAGGTATCCACCAAGCAATATGCAACAACATCATTGAATGTCTTGTAAATGTTCTCAGATCACATGTTCATTCCTGAATTGTGCTGTAGTCCTTGCTGGGTTCCTTATATGAGATGCACTGAAGTCTGACAGTTGGATGAATTGAGAGCATGTGGAGATGCTTAAATGATATATAGTTTCACAGATATATGAAATCAATGCAAAATATGTGTCTTGAAATACATGTCTGCATTTGGTATACATGCTGATTGCTTTACTATAGAACAGATTTTTCTCATTATAAATAGGGCTCTTCCACCCCGTGATAAAATGGTAAAGAGATCATGGAGGCCCCACCACCCACTCATTTTCTACCAATACCAGTGATAATGAACATAAGAAGATGAGAATTCTGTGAGAATTCTAATAGTTTCATGAATCATACTTTAATTTCTGGTTCAAAACTAGGAAACATTACAACTTGCCACTGGGAAGGTAGCTGACAGAAAATTAAGTTTCTCTTTTCTAATTATAGGGATCATTTAAGGTTTCTTCCTGCCCATGAAAGAAATCTTTGTTTCATCTTATCCTTTAGAAAAAACAGCCCTTTCATCAGGTCTACTTTGGAAGCTGAGAATAAGAAGCTGAGAAGATGATCAGTGATCCTCCACCATTCTAAAGGACCTCTTGATAGCTGTGGAACCACTGATGTAGAAGACTGTGTTTGTGAGAGCTGGAAGATTGATCAAGGAGACTGGGGAAGGAACATCAAAAGAATAGCCCAACCAGTTCTCCAAAAGCAGCGGACAGGGGAAATGAACAATGATTCACATAATATGGCAGCGGAGAAAGCCACACCCACAATGGACTAGACAAGTGTTGCAACCCAATGGCTGCCTAAAAGAATTCCCCTTCCCCTCCATGTCAGTAAGAAAGAATTCCAGTTGAAAATACTTGATTGACCAGCTAGAAATCTGAACCCTTGTATAGGGCAGGTCTCCAGCAAACAGCCTGAGGATGGAGGCTAGAAAAAGAGAAATATCAACTCTCATTCTCGCAGAGGAAGCAAATCCACCAGATATTCCTTTATTCCATCAACGGGGTGGCAGGAGGAGAGCCAGATGATATTGGATCTGGAGACATGTTAAAATTGTAAGAGAGGAGCAATTTAGTGTTTTGATACCCAGTATAACAACTCAGGTGCTAAACAGAGAGGATAGGATTTGCTTGGCAGCTATCTAGCCATGCGAGGCATCTTATCTGCCCTCCAGTGATGTTATTTTTTGAAAGCAGAATTATAGAAGGAAAGAAGGAAGGGAAGGAAGGAAGGAAGGAAGGATAAAGCTGTACATTTAAAATTTCTAAGCTCAGATACTCCAGGTCATGAGGAACATCCCTAACTTATTTTCAAAGTGGTTCTGAAAGATAATGAAGATGCTCACAGCCCGCTGTGACTTAAGGAAAGTCATGAAATGTATATTCTGGACCACTCCATTATAAATCAATTGTCAACTAGTAAATTGGAGCAGATTATAATAAAACTGGATTTTAAAGCCATATCAGACCACCTTTGAATGTGTGCCACTGACTGATGCTATCACCTTCCATTGAAAAATGAGTATTCTCTTGCGTTACCAACACAACCACAATATATGCTTTACATGGTTATCAGGATGGTTTATTGTATCGCCATTCATGAGAACACTTAGAAGCAACGCTGTTTGCAAAATTATATGATCTGATGCTTAAGATACTCTCTATGCAGTCTCTGTAAAAGTCTCCATGCCTTATCTAATTATCTGGTTGGTTTTTTGTGCTTATACTGGGTCATCCTGAGTCTATTACTCCTTTCATTATCTAAGAAGTAATATTATTGAACTAATATGGAAATTTAAGAAGAGGAAATTGAGGCAGGAAAGCTCCAGGATTTTGAGACTCACTCTTTTACTTATTTATTTACAGTTGAACCATTTGGTGACAGAACAATTGATTAGTGTTGGAGTTCCAGCAGTGGGGATTTCGGTAAGGGGCCTATAATTTTTGTTTGTCTTTTTTGGAAGGAGGTAGATTTTGATGATTTGCCTAGGTTAGATAATGTTAATTTCATTACTGTTCGAGTATGAGGGCATCTTCATGCTCAAAACAGTATGATGAAGGAATTATCAAGAGAATCTGCCTTGAAAGTATTTTTTGGAAAATTTTCTTTATCCTGTAAAAACCTGAATTTTCTGCCCTAAGTAAATTGTTGAAGTTTATTGCTTCATATAATATATTCATCAATTATGATAGTTTCTGTTGTTTTTGTTGCTGCAGTTGAGTCAGTGTTGACTCCTGGTGACTACCTAGACAAGTCTGTGCAGTTTTCTTGGCAAGATTTCAGAAGTGGTTTGCTATTGCCTCCTCCTTAGAGCTGAGAGAAAACCACTGGCCAAAGTCACCCAGGTGGTTTTCTTTGTAAGGCAGAACTAGAACTCAGTCTCCTGATTTCAAGCCTGGTTCTTTAACCACTTCACCAAACTGATTCTTGTTGGCAGTTTCTTACCTATATTTTAATTTGAGGAATATATTTAAATACTTTTGTATAATACCAACATATCTAATAGTTGCCTTTCAGGTTGCCACTGTAACTGGCACATATACAGATTAAGAAATAATGCTACTGTATATCCATGTAAAAAGGCAAAGTCATTTCCTGAATATAAAACATAACCAGAATCAAAATGCCTTAATTTTCAGATCATTCTTATTTCAGAAATAGTAATTCCTTCTGATTAATAACAGTAACAGAATTATGTGTTTGCTATTTTTCTCCAGCCTTTTGCAACCTGGCAAACAACAAACAAGAATGTTGTTGAGGCTGGTATTGATGCTGTGAAGAAGGTTGTAGATGCCGGTTATGTTCCTGTATTACATGGGGATTGTACCCTGGACTTGGAGCAACACTGTTGTATCTTATCTGGAGATACAGTTATTGAGGTGAGATATGGGAATGACTTGACTTGTACATTCACCAGGATACTTACAAGAAATTTGAGCTCTACTCTTTGAATTCATATGCTGCACATCAGACATGTTATTCAGCAGGTTCTGATGAGTTCTGGAAAACCAATAGCAGAAATTTTGAGTAGTTCGGAAAACTGGTAAATACTACCTCTGACTTGCTCCGCCCTCATCTATTCTCTGTTTGCAGTGTCCTACTCCTGCCATGCCCAGGAAGCTCCCCTCCCCCCCCATAGAACTGGTAGTAAAAAAAATGGAATCCTATCACTGCTGCAGATATATCTGATTATTTCAGACTGTTTTTTCTTTTAATTAATCCTCCGGGATTGGGCGGTGTATAAATTTATTAAACTTTGAACTTTTTGAACTTTAATATTACTAAGATGAAGTTGTTTGCAGTCCAAAGTTAATTGAAATTGAGATTGATTAAAAAAATAGAAATACAGATATGGTCATGTTCTTAATTGGGTAAAATATATACCAATGTATCAAGTAGCCTGAAGAAATGCAGAACTGTGTACAAATGAAGACACACCCTTAATGTCATCAACCATGTGCAGATAACAGCAGTTCCATTGTGTTTTGTTTGAAAAAAAGTAAGTTTTCTTGCATGTAACATCTGAATGACAAAATGTACATCCATTTTAAATGAAAAAACATCGCAATCTCAAATAGTGTGAAGTCTTGGGTACAATGAAATCATCCTATGGTTCTGAAGCAGACAAGTCTCCCTCAAATTATTCCTTGTATTTCCAGGCATTGTGGCTCAGAGAGCCAAGGTGGCGCAGTGGTTAAATGCAGCACTGCAGGCTACTGCTAGATCAGCAGGTCAGCGGTTCAAATCTCACCGGCTCAGGGTTGACTCA